CCACGCTTCCTTCCAGCCTTCCTATTTTTACACCACGTTTCTTATTATAGCAGTAATAGAAGAATTAAAGAGCAATAGATTCGATGGATCCGTTCAAATAACCGAAAATAACATTCTGTGATGTTCGTTATAGCAACAAAATAAAAATAAAATAATTGAAAAATAGTGGATCTGTCTCTTATACACATCTTATAAAAATTCAAAAATAATAGACTTCATAGAATTGAGTAGTTGGACATTATAATGAAAGAGTGAAAATATAAGCTGTCTCTTATACACATCTTATAAAAATTCAAAAATAATAGACTTCATAGAATTGAGTAGTTGGACATTATAATGAAAGAGTGAAAATATAAGAATTAAAAAGTACTAGATTTAATAGCTGTCTCTTATACACATCTAGATGTGTATAAGAGACAGCTTATATTTTCACTCTTTCATTATAATGTCCAACTACTCAATTCTATGAAGTCTATTATTTTTGAATTTTTATACGAAGATTGTAGAACATTATTTTTCGTTTATCCAAACGGTTCTACTATTTTTAATTACTTTTTAGTTAAAATTGTAAGACGTTATTTTTCTGTTATTTAAACGATCCTAGTATATACTATGAAAATTATTATTATTATTATATATATATATAATAATAATAATAATTTTCATAGTATATACTAGGATCGTTTGAATAACAGAAAAATAACGTCTTACAATTTTAACTAAAAAGTAATTAAAAATAGTAGAACCGTTTGGATAAACGAAAAATAATGTTCTACAATCTTCGTATAAAAATTCAAAAATAATAGACTTCATAGAATTGAGTAGTTGGACATTATAATGAAAGAGTGAAAATATAAGAATTAAAAAGTACTAGATTTAATAGCTGTCTCTTATACACATCTAGATGTGTATAAGAGACAGCTTATATTTTCACTCTTTCATTATAATGTCCAACTACTCAATTCTATGAAGTCTATTATTTTTGAATTTTTATACGAAGATTGTAGAACATTATTTTTCGTTTATCCAAACGGTTCTACTATTTTTAATTACTTTTTAGTTAAAATTGTAAGACGTTATTTTTCTGTTATTTAAACGATCCTAGTATATACTATGAAAATTATTATTATTATTATATATATATATAATAATAATAATAATTTTCATAGTATATACTAGGATCGTTTGAATAACAGAAAAATAACGTCTTACAATTTTAACTAAAAAGTAATTAAAAATAGTAGAACCGTTTGGATAAACGAAAAATAATGTTCTACAATCTTCGTATAAAAATTCAAAAATAATAGACTTCATAGAATTGAGTAGTTGGACATTATAATGAAAGAGTGAAAATATAAGAATTAAAAAGTACTAGATTTAATAGCTGTCTCTTATACACATCTAGATGTGTATAAGAGACAGCTTATATTTTCACTCTTTCATTATAATGTCCAACTACTCAATTCTATGAAGTCTATTATTTTTGAATTTTTATACGAAGATTGTAGAACATTATTTTTCGTTTATCCAAACGGTTCTACTATTTTTAATTACTTTTTAGTTAAAATTGTAAGACGTTATTTTTCTGTTATTTAAACGATCCTAGTATATACTATGAAAATTATTATTATTATTATATATATATATAATAATAATAATAATTTTCATAGTATATACTAGGATCGTTTGAATAACAGAAAAATAACGTCTTACAATTTTAACTAAAAAGTAATTAAAAATAGTAGAACCGTTTGGATAAACGAAAAATAATGTTCTACAATCTTCGTATAAAAATTCAAAAATAATAGACTTCATAGAATTGAGTAGTTGGACATTATAATGAAAGAGTGAAAATATAAGAATTAAAAAGTACTAGATTTAATAGCTGTCTCTTATACACATCTAGATGTGTATAAGAGACAGCTTATATTTTCACTCTTTCATTATAATGTCCAACTACTCAATTCTATGAAGTCTATTATTTTTGAATTTTTATACGAAGATTGTAGAACATTATTTTTCGTTTATCCAAACGGTTCTACTATTTTTAATTACTTTTTAGTTAAAATTGTAAGACGTTATTTTTCTGTTATTTAAACGATCCTAGTATATACTATGAAAATTATTATTATTATTATATATATATATAATAATAATAATAATTTTCATAGTATATACTAGGATCGTTTGAATAACAGAAAAATAACGTCTTACAATTTTAACTAAAAAGTAATTAAAAATAGTAGAACCGTTTGGATAAACGAAAAATAATGTTCTACAATCTTCGTATAAAAATTCAAAAATAATAGACTTCATAGAATTGAGTAGTTGGACATTATAATGAAAGAGTGAAAATATAAGAATTAAAAAGTACTAGATTTAATAGAGTCGTTCAGATAATACAAAAATAAGTTGTACATATTGTCAATAATGAAATACTGGTTTGAAAGTTGATAATCAGTTTGAGATTGAACTTAAAGATACAAAGTAGAACCTCTGCTATCCAAACTACAATTATAATCAACGATGCTGTAAATCAGAAATATTTTAAACATACTTGTCAATTTGCTACTAGCAAAATCATTAATCTTTCCGTAGCTTTTAATAAAACAGCTATCTGTTTAACTTAATCTTCGATGAAATATTAAGTATTAAATATATTAAATATTAAAATTAAAATATTGAAATTAAATATTTAAACGGCGATTTTGCTACTCTGGATCAAAACAGACCCGGTATTGATTGAAACAGTATAGTATGGCATTGTAAATACACTAGCAACTTAAACTTTGTTAAATAGTTAACATCTCGTTTAATCGTCAGCTCAATTCACAAAATTCTGTTTTCCGAACGTTATCAACTCAATTTCAAAAAATCGATCTTCCTTGCAATTGTTTCGTTCAATATCCCACTTTATTGCAGACTTTATCCTACTTAACTGTAGCATAATTCTTTATTACCTTGCACCTTGACTAACCTAATCACTACTTAATCTCGTTTTTACAATTTCGTGTCGCTATTTTATTTTTTCTCGAGTTTCGATTTTTTTGATTTGCTTGTTGTTAGTAAAAAATAATCGTATTTTTACCGCGCGGAGACGCTGCGTGGAGTCTTGGCCTCGTTCCTGTCAATTGAAAAATCGTTGAAAATAAATAATGTAATCCGAACTTAAGAACAAGAAAGATCCACGAGCGATCGTATAGGAAGATATAGTAATTATTCGGGATCAATTAGGATTTAGATAGTGTGCTGCGGAGTTATTGATTGGGTGATTATTATAGTATACTGATACAGCAATAGTGATTGCAATTAAGATATAGAGACGCGATAATTAAGATGTAGGAGCACGAAACGATCCACGTCCTTCCGAATGATATATCGATTGATATCACGCTGTCGAGAGGTGCGACGATTATGGGGACGAGCACGTGGATGTCGAATGCAGCAATTAGTGTTCAATTATCTGTCTCGATTTGTAGCTTTGCGAGACACAATTATATTTAATTGTATTATAATTAAATTATATTACATTGAAATTAAAGTCATATTAAATTTAAATTAAATCTAGATGAAATTAAAATTAAAGTCATATTAAATTAAAATTAAATCTAGCTTGAATTAAAATTAAAGCTGTAATCAATTACAATTAAATCTAGATTAAATTAAAATTAAAGTTGTATTAAATTTTTTTTTTTTTAATTAAATCTAGATTAATGTGAAATTAAATTTACATTAAATTAAAACTAAAATATTACACTGATATTAAATTGATACTATATTAATATTAAACTAATGAAAGAATTATTTTTACCGTTCTGATTAGCTTTTCGTACCAGATGCTAATATCGACTTCTTAAAATTGCTAATCGGTTGTTGAAAATGCAAATTTGTTTTCCGTTCATGACTTAATTACGATTAATAAGGATAGACTTGCATATTCAAATTATTTTGAATGAAGTGATAAATTTGGAGAAGGTTACATTTACGAATTATTATCACGAAAACTGTTTATTCAAGCGTATCGATTATTTTTTATATTATTTTTTAAACTTTGAACTACTTCAAACAATTTTTATTTATGCACAATTAGAATTTGACGTTACCATTTTAATTAATGTTTCGTTGAAATAAAGGATTCTTTTAGGGTTACAGCACGATCAAGGCTGCATTTATGCATTTTTATCTAGAAAACCGCTTATGCTATCAGATCGATTCTTCGTTCGTCTTAATCCGCGAAGCTCTGTCTATCAGAAACATTTTTTTCCAACTAGAAAGTTGATTCCGCAGCGTTTTCTAAGAATCTATTCAACTAGAACGAAGATAACCTCGAGAGAGCTATGACAAATGTCATCTCAAGAATCTCAAAAACCTCAAAAATCTTAAATAACTCAAAAATTTCAAATATCTCAACAATTTCAAAAATCACAAAAATTTCAAATATCTCAACAATTTCAAAAATCACAAAAATTTCAAATATGTCAACAATTTCAAAAATCACAAAAATCATAAAAATCTCAAAAATTTCAAATACCTCAAAAATCACAAAAATCTCGAATATCTAAAAAAAATCTCAACAATTTCAAATATCTCAAATATCTCAAATATCTCAAAAATTTCAAATATCTCAAATATCTCAAAAAAATCAAAAATTTCAAATATCTCAAATATCTCAAAAAAATCAAAAATTAAGAAAATCTCAAATATCACTGAAAAACCACTGAGAATTCATTCGAAGCTACCGCACCAGCGCCGCTTTCATTTCACCACGAAAACGCTCATTGATCTCTCTGTTCGTTTCGCTATCATTTCGAAAAAGAAACCTTAGCTCGCGCCGTTTCACCGCATGCGATCACAAGAACGCGGTCGTGATACGATCGTCAGCTGTTTCACCGTGAACTTAACAACTAACACCGTCGCACGGCCGTCACACGAGCGTACACGCGTCGCCGTTTTGTTCATTAGTCACGCTATTAACTCTATTTTCATTTTTATTGTTTCAGAGTCCTTGCAATTGTTGTCCCATCTTGGTGAGTGGTCTTTTCATTAATACACTGCGGAGGGGCTCGCGTGCTAGTTAAATATAGACAGAAAATTATGTCGGATGAAAGTCGTGTTTCGGCCGCGTGATACGTCACGGTAATTGCCACCCTAATTCTCCCATTCGAGCATCGTCCATCGCAGACATGGCTTATTTGTTGTTGCTTTTCCTTCGTTCTGTACATATCATTTACACAGCAATGAGATCTGCTCCTGCACACCTTTCATACTCCCTAAACTTGCGCGCACAAATCCATAAAATTCAAGCTAAAATATCTGCTAATCTAATAAATCTTCGACACACATCAATTAATACTCTTTTGTAGAAAATATCGAACTGCATCAATTAATGTTTAAAAAAACATATAATTATAATTAAAAATATGAAGACGACCTTGTAATCTCCGAAAATTCTCCAGCTACGAAACAATTGTTTCGTTCGTATTATATATCACTTTGAACTGAAAAACTTTTGTGAATAAAGTTTTTCGATACCTCCGAAAATAACGGAGATACTTAGGTGGCCTCTTTTAGCCGAGACACCCTGTATATACCGAGTAACTATGGTGTAATACTTTTTTTATGCAGAATTTGGTGTAATACATTTTTATGCAGAATTTAACGCTTTACCCGAATTCGGAAAGAAACATTGACTGTTCCACTAAAAAAATTGAAGGCGACCTTCATATCTTGATGAAAAAGCAAACTAACAAGAAAATAATTGTAATTCTTTATATTCTCCCGGAAACCATGCAACTTCTATTTGAAATATTTCTTCATACAACAAATATTTGACGAGTTATTTGAGGTAGTCTTGTTATGGGATTCATCCTGTATATGTATGTATAGTAATTTCCACAGATTATATTATATATTTATATTATATATTTTATTTATAATTATATTATATTACATCACATATTTATATTACATTACATATTTATATTACATTTTATATTTATATTATATTACATTTTATGTAACGATTGTATTATTATATTTATAGTCGTCGATTGTCAACGACTATAAAAACAAGACGCAAGGCTCGAATAATCGTATCACCTCTTCCCAAATTGTCCACTTCTGTGCGCGATCTGAGCGCAAATTAGGAAGAAATTACTGTATTTGTGTGTGTGTGTCACAATTCAACATAATTAACTTTGAAATAAATTTAAAAAATTATCACAACTTCGTAGCGGATATATTTGTGTGCGCGTGCGTGTGCGCGCGTGTGTGTGTGTGTGTACCTAAACAGCGGGTCTAACATCAAGGATTCCGATGCTAGAACATTCAACGGTCAAGGCGCTTTGACAGACACGCCATGCTCGGTAGTTCATTCTCCATGCGATCCATTTCGACGTTTTCTAATTAATGAGTTGCGGCTGGTTCGAGGGTATGCCGATGCGCAAAATGCGACGAGTGGGGTGCGGGTAATTGGGTTCCGTGAACCTTGATAAAGGATAACGTACAGGGTTGTTCACTTGGGATTGAACATCTGAGATGACCTTCTCTAGCTGCAACGATACTTTTCGGTACACTAGGCAGAAAAGGTCTGCTGCGTATAACTATTTAAAAACGAATACAGTAAATTCTCCCTAATTGACGCTCAGATTGTACACAATAATGGACAATTTGGGAAGAGGAGATAAGATTATTTGAACCTTGCGGTTCGATTTTATAGTTGTCGACACAATCGACGACTATAAATATATAATATAATAAAAATATAAATGCATAATATAATAAGAATATAAATAAAATATATAATATAATAGAAATATAAAAATAAAAATAAAAAATATATAATATAATATATATATATATATAAAATATATAATATAAAAATATATAATATAATCGTATCTCTTTTTTTCTTCCCAAATTATTCATTTTTGTATACAATCTGGGCGTCGATTAGGGAGAATTCACTATATGTACACTTTTAAAAAATTTCGACCAAACGATCCGAATTCTTTTGTCATATTAGAAGGACCAGATTGTTAGGCAACGAGTAAACAAATTTTTGCAAAAACTGCGATTTTAATAGTTAACAATTTTTTATAATTATTTTAATAGTTAGTTAATTGTTTGTAGCTCTTAAGTTATCGAGGTCTAGAGCTTATGAAAATATTGAGGAACATACTATTTTGAATCTATAAAATCTAAAAGATTGGTTCGATTAAATTTGGTCTTCGTAAAGTTGTTCTACTTTAAAAGGTGTATACAGACTTTTTCTACTAATAAAAAGTCGTGGATGATTCTGGGTTGAGATATATGCGAATAAACAATAAATTTCAATAAGGAATTGAAGAAGATCCGGTGACGACTTTTTTCAGCTGGGACTCCTTGTAGATTTCAGCTATTGTAAATCAATTAATTGATTACAAAATAGATTCTCCGAAAAGCTACTGAAATTATATTGTAGACATTTATAAAACTGCGATTTCCAATTAACTTAACTCCAATTTTTAAATGGTACATCAAAATACAAATTTCAAACGACTCTGGTAAATATTTATAAAATTGATGTTTTTAATCGATGCAATAAAATTAACATCTTTAATATCATCTTTTATTTTTTCATTGTTTTGTATTAATTTTAATTATTAGATTATGAATTGAATGGAGACGTCGAACTATTTTAAATGAATTCATGAATTATATAAAGTAAAAAGTTTACATTCAATTTCGACTTAACTAATCAAACATTAATATCTTTAATTAATACATTAGAGTACAGACTAGAGCAAATTATATTGAATTTAATAATATACAAGGTGAACAAAATCACTTTAACTTACACTGAAGCATTAATTTTACTTCTTGAAATTTAAGATTCTCATAGTTAATTTAACATTGATAATAAATCAATAATGAATCAATACTAGTAATTGGAAATGTTTGCCGTAGAATTAGAACTCAGGTGAAATATTTATAACCGTTGTCAATATTTTGCGAGAAAGTTAGAATTTAGGTAAAATGTTCGTAACTGTGGGTTGAAATGGACCCAAGTCTGACTACCTATAATTTAATAAAAAAAAGTGCAATAGATAGAAAATAGAAATTTTCCAAATTTTAGACCAGAAGAACAGCCTTTTAACCCGAGAAAGATAACCTACGTCGCAGAGGCGCCTGCGAAGACTGTTGATTTTTGTTAATTTTTCATAGAGGTCTAGTGATTTAAGTTTAAAATTACTTAAAATATAAAAAAATATAATATAAATGCATTTTATTTTTACAATAATGCCAAACCTTTAAAATGACTAGATTAACTTAAATAAATATCCATTGTTAGTATAAAATTGACGCCTTAGAAAAGCATGCGCCTCTGAAGCGTATGGTTATCTTTTACGTACGTTGTCATATGGTTATCTTTCTAGGGTTAATATTTCGTCAAACGAAATCGTTCTACCAAAGTCGTCATTCTTTTTCAATTTCTGCTTTTAATTAGAGCTCGTGCAGCCAGCCCCTAAAATATTTGACACGCGTAGTCGCGGGCAAGGAACGTACGTACAGCCTGATTTCCGAATCGGTTATTTGTTTTCATTCCAATTTCGAATTTGTTTTCATGGACTGTAGAGCAAGCGGTACATAGTACTTGATCAAAGGTTAAAATTAGCTGTTTAAACAGTGCGGTGTTATCATTTCTTGCCACCACCGTATGTATACAACATCCGCTTATTCACCTGTTGTACGATCTATAGATCTACCGTTCCCATTTCAGTCAATCCCCTCGGTTATTCATGGAAGTACTAATTATACGAAAAAATGATTCAGTCGAAAGTATAAAATTGGGTCGGATATTATATCTTCAAAATGCACGACTTTTGTTTGAAACATTTTTCTGTTAGTTCAATATTTTTTAAGCTATTATTATGTCAGGGATAATTTTGTTTTTCTATTAAAATGACAACGTTATTTTGAAAGGTATTTTATTTCATTTAAGAACATCGTATTACAAAAAAATGTTTCAAACGAAAGTTGCGCATTCTTCTACGTGGAATATGATTCCGAAATATAAAATATAGGTTCATGATAAAAGAAAGTAAGGTGACCTTGAAGTCACCTTGAAAACACCCAAGCATTGAGAAACTAGTACCGCCATTTGACTCCCCACTCGAAATACTGAAGGACACGTGTCAGTTTGATCTTTTTCTTAAATTATTTGTCTACGAGATTTTTGACAATCTCAACTTAAATGGGACACCTTATATAATATCGTATTAAAATCCAATGTTCGTAGAAGCGCGTTCGTTTGGAGAAAAATTATGTTCGTTCGAAGTTACAGCTGAATATCGGGCATTTCGCATGTAATAATTTCACACTTAGTTCGGTCTCTACGGGAACCTACGATCCATTTTTAGTAGCCATCGATCATGCGACGGTTTCGTGACGCGTCCGAAGCGTGTGCGCAAGGAGAGGTGTTGCCCCATGGCATGATCGATAAAACTATGTGAAAGCGGCATTATTTGCTATTTTTACGGACAGAGTAAATATCGCGAACGGTTCTGCTCAAAAATTTATCAAGACATCTGGTATATCTTCATTTTCGGAAATAGGTGACGTCGATTCTGAAGTGTCATGGTGTCCCAGTGGCAATGAGTATAGCAAGTCTAACAATAGCTGATGCAGAATCGGGAATTAAAAGTGGCTGAAAAACAGCTGTTACATTATTGTCGATGATCAACAGAAAGTAAGAGCATCGATTTTGAACTGCCGCCATCGTGTCCTATTGACACTGACTGTATCAATTCTAGCTATAGGTAACACGATATAAAAAATTAAAAAGACCGTTGAAACATTGAACTTGACAAATAGCTACTATATTGTAGCCAATGATCAATAAACAGTAAACACATCGATTCTGAGAAACTATCATGCGGTGCTATCAACACTGACTGTAGCGAATCTAACTATACAGGTTGTCCCAAAAGTTACTCGCAGTCGGAAAATAAGGGGTTCCTGAGGTCATTTGAAGTAACTTTTTCCT